CCCATTCTTTGAGTAAAGAATCATGCAATTAGAAGAGCAAATATAAATACTCGGGTCCTGGAAACGGTATATCCAAAGGTTATTAAGAAGAGTGGTGGCGTATGGTCTTGGATAATGGAGAAATTGGGTCTTGGAAAAGATGATGATACAACAGTTGATGCTGATGCCAAATCAGAAGAATCTGATGCTCACTCCCTTATGTTTCCATGGCATATACTGAAGCGTGATGATGATAGTCTTTTACTCATTAACAAAAGGTAGTGAAAGGGTTTGCTTCTTTATTGTATCTCTTGGTCCCGTTATTTACCCTCATAACCAAATTGATTTGTCATTTTTTCCAGCTTGACGAAGTTATGGATAGTAAATCTAGCTGCAGGAGAAATCGAAGAAGTAGTGGAAGGTAAGATATAAGAATCGGCATGTTGTTTTTCCGTATTATGGTACTTGGCTTCTGACTTAATGTATCTAACATATGTTTATCTTTGAAGGGTTTCCGGGGATAATGGAGATCTGTGGGGAATTGATCACAGAGAAGCTATCAGACTTGAAACATTTACCTTCTAATTGGTTGCAACAGCAAACTGAGGCTATCACCTCGAGCAAGGAGCCGCCAAGTGTTTCCCTTTTGTCTTCTTTCTCTAAACTTGGCAACGACGTTGTCATGACAGATATAGGTACAAGACATTGACGCAGCTACGTTAGATTGTTTCATCTCTATGCATCATCTAACCAATTTTGCCTTGTACATTAAGCTTGTCAGAGGTTGTTGAAGCTAGATAGAGAATCTGGAGAATCCTCTAGCGTTCAGTTTTCAAATATTGGGATCCTTGGGTTGCCCTATTGGTTGTCCATTCCACTGGAGAGAGTTTTTAACCTGTTAGTGATTCCTTAATGCCATTTTGTTTTTATTGCGTTCTGAGACTCCCCAAATGTCATTTTCTTATCCATAAAATGCTCATGATACAATTATTATATTTCTGAACCTAACTAATGTTGTTGTGCTCTTTTGGTTAATATAAAACAGAGCTAGTGGAGTTCAGGAAGCACACTTTAGTCATACTCAGGAACTCCGGTTGTTACCAGGTGCGATTTGGTAGCAAACTCTGATGGTTTCACTGATACACCTATGTTCGTCCCAATTAGCTGCAGCATGAAGATGGTTTTGACATTGGGTCTAGCCGGCAATCAAAGCATCCGGTCTGATTCAACCACTACTTTTTTTATTTTATTTTAACAGGTTAAATTAGCATACGGTTGAACATAGAGATTCCTCCATGCACAGAGCTTGTTGAGCCGATACAGGAAAACTGCATATGGCGACAGACAAAAGGCGCAATCACTGAAGTCTCGAATGCTGGAAGCGCAGAGGAACCTTCTGAAAAGGTTAAGAAAATTGCATCCGCGACAGTTGCTCTGATTTAATTTCGAGGTTGCTTTAGAAATTTCGTTTTCATGACTTGCAGGTTGGAGTCTCACAGCAATGGTATGATGAATTAGACAGCCTCGCCAAAGAAATAGCCACCCCC